CTTGTTTGGGAGTTTCCTTGAAATATTAAGTAGAAAGATAAATAGGTTAAAATAATAAAATAAAACAAAGGAAGTTCCACACACAATAGTACCATTTTTATTTGGTATCATCTGATAAGGAGAGATCTACAAGTAAATTTTCCAGAAAACTGAAACGTAACATTTAATTAACAGAGTTTTAAAAATGTTTACTTTTATAGCAATCTCAAAAGACACCAATTTCTTACTTCCTTAAACATAATACACAGAATAAAGGTTTATTATTAAAGTCATCATTGTGACGCATCAACTTACTAGGCTGCTCTATGATACTGTCATTCCTTCAGAAGTTAATGATTATAGGAGTGTATGTCTTTATGTAACGGCCTTAAAACAGTATTCTACCATAGTTCCACCTACTTTTTAATAGTTCTTCCTTTTCCCCTGAAGATATCATTTCAGCTGCCAATGTCCCTAACTCCAATGGCCAACACTGAAGATTTTTATCTGTGGACTACTTCTAATTAGTTGTTTCCTAATAAAGCCTAATGGCTTATTATACTTGGTTACAGTCATTCTGAAGGCTTATAGTTTTTTTATGTCCAGGATTTCTGCTATGTTTCAAATGGCTGAGGTCATTAGCAATAAATGTCAGCTGAATCACTGACTCTAACTTACAAATATACTGGAGTTCCAAAAACAACAGTAATAATAATACCTGAATAGTTTGATTAATCACAAAGTGATAGTCTCCTCAGGGCAAGTTACTCACTCAGTCCTCTCTAATAAGACAAAAATTACCTACATAAATGAGAAAGATCAGCTGAAAAGAAAAACAGAAAAAGTGAAAAGCAAAGGGTCAAACAAAATAATCAAGTCAAGACTTTGGACTTTGGGAAATATTTACTGAGAGTGGTTTTCAGAGTACAATTATAGTAGTTATCAGAGCATTAACGACAGAAATTTGCACCAGAGTATACACCAAATCTCTAGTAAATACTACTATAAAAATGAAACTCTTCTAGCAACTATTCCTTGTAGGCAACTCCAAACTGAATTTTCATATGAAATTTAGGTGTTTTTATTTTATTTTTGACCCATGGTCTCACTCTGTTGCCCAGGCTGGAGTGCAATGGTGCAATCACAGTTCACTGCAGTCTCAACCTTCTGGGCTCAAGTAATCCTCCCATCTCAGCCTCCCAAGTAGCTGGTACTACAGGCATGCACTACCACGCCCAGTTTTTTTTTGTTGTGGTTTTGTTTTTTTTTTTTGGTAGAAACGTGGTCTGACTATGTTGTTGCTGGTCTCAAGCAATCCTCCCACCTCAGCCTCCGAAAGTGCTGGTATTACAGGCGTGAGCCACCAGGCCAGTTTAAGGCAACTTAAAGTTACAGGTTTGTGGAAACAGGCATGGTGTCAGACCTTAAGGAAAAAATTCAAGTGAGAATGAATCAGTATTATATCATCACTGTTACTAATTTCCTCTGATCACTGAAGTTCATTAGCTCTCATCATTTATATGACTGTAATAATTGAGAAAAATGAAAATTAAATTTCTTGGTTATTTAAATTTTACTCAAGCAAAAACAAACCATGTAAAAACACATTTTTCCTCTTCCTTGGATTTTTCTCAGTATATTTCTACCAAGTACAAATAATTTCGTGTCTGTAAAAGACTGGTAATTCCCAAGACCCACTACTGAAGAGTTTATAAAACAAAAGTCCTAAGAACAAGGAACATATATTATTTCATAGATCAGATGTACATGGACTATTAAAGGCAGAGTTACCAAGCTAAATTTATGCAGATACCTTTGCAAAGGCCATTGTAGAACTGTGACCTTCAAACTCATTGTCACTTTCACAATTTTCTACTTCTAAAAATAATAATAAAATGTACTTAACAAATGTTATTTAACAGAATAGCTTTATCTAAAGTAAAGAATTCACAAGGTTTCAATTAAGTATCACCTTAAGCTGCTGACTTTTATGACAGGAAATATCTAGCAATTCTGTGAACGGACCCAGAACTGACTTAAAAAAAGAGGAGGAGAAAGTTGCCTCAAATACGGACTCGGCTGTCCTCCAACTATTATGAGCCTAACTATTCTTGGACCACGGCTCTTGACTCACTGTCAACCTTCTACATTCCTCTTTTCTCCCCAACTTGTCCAATTCCATTTCAACATCAACCTCTACACTCCCAACGTCCCCTTTTCCTCTTTCCAACATCGTATCTCTCAACGCTCACTTCTATTCCTCAACATTTCTACTTGCACTGTTACAACAAAAAACCACATTGCCCAAAGAGTGGACACTTTTCTTATGTGACTGGTCTGATAAATATTATTACTGGTAGGTTTAAGGGGGAAATTACAAAAACAACACTTACAAAATGAAAGCCGCTTAGCAACTTCAAGTATATATACCTTTGTTTGTACGAACTACTAATATGTCTACCACTCTCCAATTGAGATCACTAAATTGCAGGGTCAGAACTACCATTTTAATCACACTGATAAGCTTTTAAAACGTCTGAAAAACTCCTATATAGTTAGGTTACAGTTTAGAACATATAATATATAAAGTTAAATATGTAACAAACATTAAACATAAAAATATAAAACTCAAGTGATAAAACATTAATTTATTTAAATATTGTTTTACATGTACTTTCTGTGCAAAGCTACTAAGCACAATAAATCAACTTTACTGCAAAAATAAGCCACTTGTGATATTTTCACAAGATTATACTACCAAAAAAACCAGTACAAACAAAAAAATCTGCTTTTTATCTAAGTATGCATACATGAGTCTTGACAGGCACATATCACTAAATAAAAATTTAATTTAGCTAAAAAATGTTTACTGATTGCCAATGTTGTGTTGACACCCCATTAAAACAACACTTTCTCCCCTTCATTTAAGAAACAAAAACTAAACTAAAGCATGGAAATATCTGGAATGATACAGAGCAACCACAAAGGCTGGTTACAGAGATTTAAGACTGAGGAATGGAACTTTGTGGTACCTTGAAACAAGTACTGTGTTACTCTATACTATATACCTCTGTATGACGTGCAGAAAAAAAAAAAAAAAAAAATTGTAGTTTTAAAAAACAAACTATGAATGAACTAGTTACCTGATTCGTTTTGTAATTAACTCCCCACTCCCTATTTAGTACTGCAACTACTTAAAATAAAAATCCAAACACTACTTAAGAATACGAAAAAACAAAGGCATATTGTAAATTGATTTCTGAGACATTAGGGAATTGGAGAGAAATATTAAATTGATTTCAAACTCATTTAAGAAAAATAAAGCTCAAACTCTGATACCAAAGTTTGAGTTTGCTCTTTACTAAAAAGTTCATCTGAGGCCAGGCGCGGTGGCTCACGCCTGTACAGTGCTGTAATCCCAGCACTTTGAGAGGCCGAGGCAGGTGGATCACTTGGGGTCAGGAGTTTGAGACTCGCCTGGCCAACACGGTGAAACCCCGTCTCTACTAAAAATACAAAAATTAGCCGGGCGTGGTGAAGCGCGACTGTAAACCCAGCTACTCGCGAGGCTGAGGCAGGAGAATCGCTTGAACCCGGGAGGCAGAGGTTGCAATAAGCCGAGATCGCCCCACTGCACTTCAGCCTAGGCGACAAGAGCGAGACTCCGTCTCAAAAATAAAAATAAAAATTCACATGAAACAAACAGTCTGTTACCCTAAATATATAACGTAAAACCACCATCCCTAAACATCAAAGATGGCAACGTCAGTAACACAGTGGTAATTAAAACCCTACCGATAACTGAGTTAATAGGCACGTACAAAACGATTAAAAGCAGGATTTTCTTCTGACCTCAGGTGCTATCAGAGACATAATGGGCCCTTCAAATACTGCCAAAAGTTACTGAAAATACGAAGTCAGGGTGATGAGCAAATGACACCCAGAGAAAAGAGATGGGAGGAGTTCTGTTTCAGGAGACTGGAGACAGGTACTGCAGCAGAAAACGCGACAAAATAGTTAACAGGTCTGGAATACTTGAGAAAACGGCAACAAGGGAAAAATTGACAAGAACGTTTTAAAGTAAGAGGAACAGTGTCCAATGGAATCATCAGGTCTGCACCAGCACGGCTCCGGACTTCCAGTGAGTGGGACAGGGTGGAACTATCACTGCGTGGGGAGAAGGACCCGGCTGAGGGGTGCATATGCTTTTGCAGGTGGCGGAGCGCCCGCAGGGGGATGGGGAGGGCAGTGTTGCCTCAATGGGGTTACTGTATTCCCTTCAAGACTATAGGAAGCTGATATAGCACGTATCCCGGCACCAAGAGGCACTCGCCCCGGGCCCCTCCCTAACGACTTGCCTTGTAGAAAGAGTTGCGGGTCCCAGGCCCCCGGAACCCAAGGCTCCGCCATCCAGGACAACTGCTCTGCCAACAAGGTCCCGCGAGAATCGAGAGATCTCGCGATACAAACACACTCGCATCTCGCGAGCTTCCTCTAACATGGCGGTACAGAAAAAAATCAGTATTTCGGAACTTAAAAAGCACTTCACTAACAAAGTAGTGAACATTTAAAACACTGAGTAGGAAGTCTTTTCCGCTTTATATGTCTCCTCCTTTCCCCTTGTACAGAAGAAAAGCGGCAATCTTAAAAACCTCCGATTACCACGGTTATACTACACAAACACAGCCCAACGCGCTGCCTCAGCCAGCCTCCCTGTCACGTGGAAACAGATTCTCGGCGTGCCCATCACGTGGGCCGCCACTGAGCGAGCGCGCGCCCGACGCCCTCCCAGGAGCCCTCCCCGCCCCCCTTTCGCCCGCGCACACGTGCGCGCGCACCCCCGCCCCACGTGGGGGCTTCGCCGTCACAGCCGTCGCAGTCGTCGCCTCCAGCCCACCCCCTCCCAGTACTTGGCTCCAAATCCGGGTCCCAAGCCGATCGTTTGCCACCCCCATTCCCTCCCCCTTCATTCTCCTTCCCCCGTGTCTGGCCCTCACCACGTGCCCCGAGCTCCTGCTCACCTTTCACGCGCGGTCGCACTCCACGGGCCACTTGAGGAGGCGCCGCCGCCTTGGCCGCTCTCCGCCCCCGCCACGGCACTTGCTCGGGTGGCCACCGCTGCAGGAAGCTCGATAGCGGCGCCGCGGCGCTTCCAGGTGGGTCCCCGCCTCCAGCTCCTGCCACTTCCCGCAGCACCAGCGGCTCCTTCCGGTCCCCTCCTTTCTCCTCCTCGTTGGGACGGGCGGGCGGCGGCGGCGGCGGCGACTGCTGCTGCGGTAGCTGCTGCTGCTGCTGCTGCTGCTGCTGCTGCTGCTGCAGGCGCGCTCACTACACCGCCTGCTGGTAACCGCGGCCCGTGCAGCGCCCCCGGGTCGGGGGCTGCCGAGGCCCTTCCCGGCCCATCCCTGCCCCTGGGCGAAGGTTGGTCTTCCGAGAGCGGGTTGCAGTCCATCCCTTGCAATTGTCCAACCTGGCCCTAACAGAGGAAAAGCGTCCTCGTAGCTCCGCCGTTGGAAATCGGCTTCATTCTACTCTTTGTGGCCTCCTGAGAGATTTGTAAACCCCACCTCCCTTAGCACTGTGGTCTCAAGCCAGGAGAACATCCATATGTGTATTTGTGATGATGCTTCTGTCTCTCCTCGTTCACCTCTGGCTTTCTAGCTGGTACCACACCACGCAAACTCGAACCACTTCGGGCCTTTGCGCTTGCTGATTTCTCTGGCAGAACATTTCCTCCAGTTTTTTTTTAACTCGTCGATGCTCGATGCATATTTCAGGTCCCTTCTCAGAGGGCTGCCCTGACCACTGTATCCAAAAAAGTACACCTGCACCATTGCTGTAACTCTTTTACCTGCTTTTATTTCTTCATAACAGTTACAACTTCCAGACCTTATTTATTTGTCAGTATCCTCACCACCAAAAATGTAAGATTTTTAAAAGCAGGGACTTACTAAACTATTTTGCTCATTACTGTATCCCCAGAATTGTGTCTGGCACAAAGCAGTGCTCAGTAGTATCAAAACAGATCTACCAACTATATTGAGCATGTAGGAAAATGAAGCCCAACACACATTAATGAAGATAAACAACATTTATGAGCTGTGGAAAAACAGCTAAACCTCCTTCCCTGGCTATAAAGATCATGTTCCAAAAATATAAAATCCAGTGGTAGAAGCCATTAACCGGCGCTTTTCTTTGACAATTGTCCAGTACTGCTTCATTACTTTTGTTTTCCTTTGGAACATTATTTTTTTTTTAAGGCAAGTGGATACATGTTGTGCCTTCTTTTATGTTACTAATAAAAGTTATTAAATGGTTTCAATGGTGTTTTGTATTTTAGCTTTGAGTTCAACTCAAAGTAACATCTACTTCAAGAAAAAGGGTTAAGGGTTACATATTTTTATATTAACACATCAAGTATTTATTGAACATACCAGTGTTTCTGGGTGGCAGTATGTCAAAAAAAAAGGGGGGGTGGGCACGGTGGCTCACGCCTGTAATCCCACCACTTTGGGAGGCCGAGACGGGCAGATCACCTGAGGTGTCAGGAGTTAAAGACTAGTCTGGCCAACATGGTGAAACTTCGTCTCTATTAAAAATAGAAAAATTAGCCAGGTGTGGTGGCACACACCTGTTATCCCATGTAATCCCAGCTACTTGGGAAGCTGAGGCAGGAGAATCGCTCGAACCTGGGAGGTGAAGGTTGCAGTGAGCCGAGATCACGCCACTGCACTCCAGCCTGGGCAACGGAGCAAGACTCTGTCTCAAAAATAAAAAAAGAAAGATAAAACATACTAGTGCCCTATACTAAGACTAAGCACGTTTCCCTAACTTGCTCTTTCTACTTATAGAACCAAATTCTATTATAATAACCATACTTAGCATGCTTTTGATTCCTATGTGCCAAGCCAAATGCTGTGTACTTTTCTATGTTACCCTTTTTAGGCTTCTGACAATCCTATGAGATATATACTATTTGTGGTAGGCCTTGAGATGCACTTTACAGACCCCACTTCAGGAATAAAGCACTGAGCTGCTGCCACCAAGAGTCATACCCATAGCAAGCCATCGGTTGTCAGCCCCTTTCAGGCATGCCAGTGTCACAGTGTCATAATGTTCTCAGAGAGGCCACATCCAGCGACTGATCAATGCAGGGATAAAAGGTCCAGCCCTCTCACCTCCATTTGGTACAATTCTGATGGATTTTCTCATCTCCTGCAGAACAACTTGCAGGATCAGCTAGGGCATTCCGTTGAGACTTCATTGAAGCCTAGCTGCTTCTGCCCAATTCAGCTTTTCTTCCCTCCCACAAGTGATGATTCCAAAAGCATTCCCTAATAAATCTCCTGCACACTAGTCATGTAAGAGTGCGCTTCCTGGGAACCCAGCCTATAACACTATTTGTATTTTTCTATTGATAAAACAAGTAACTTGCCCATTTGAACTGCAGAAGGTTCTATGTAGATACATAAATAAAGTATTACGGGAGCGCAGGAGGGCTTCTGGGAAAGGCTTCTTACAAGGATTGGCATTTAAGTTACAGGATGACTTTACTAAGAAGAGAAAAAAGATAATTCTCGGCTAAGGGAACGGCATGAATGAGTATGTGAATGGGAGAGGACTACAAGTAACCCCAAATGGCTGGACTGTAGGGTCTTTGGGGAATCCCTACAGGATAAGGAGAAAGCACTTCATGGATGGTAAAGAGGGTAGCCAAGAAAAAACTTCAGGCCTGAGAATAACTCTTAGCCAAGTGGAAAGGGATAGGAGCCCCTGAGATCCTCAATTAAGAGTGGGAAAGGGGAGCTTCACTGCTCCTGGAAAAGGGAACCACTGCCAACCTTCCTGGCAAATACCACTCCCTAATTATGACATATATATTCATAAATGGCCTTTGTTATTTTGTTATTTTCTTTTTTTTTTTTTTGGAGACAGGATCTTGCTCTGTTGCCCAAGCTGGTGTGCACTGGCACAGTCTAGACTCACTGCAGCCACCCGTGTCCCTTGTAGTGGAGATACGCACCTCCATGCCCAATTAATTTTTGTATTTTTTATAGAGATGGGGTGTTGCCATGTTGTCCAGGCTGGTCTCAAAACTCCTGGCCTCAAGCTATCCACCCACCTCGGCCTCTTAAAGTACTGGGATTACAGGCCTGAGCCACTACGCCTGGCCCCCTTTGTTATTCTCATCTAGGATCACAGAATATTGAAGATGGAAGATACATTAACATCAACTAATTCAGCAGTTTGTACAATATTTTCTGAAGCACTGGAAATTTCTTGTATACTCATATTCTTATGCCAGGATCCAATATTTGAGCCAAATAAAAGAGGACCTGGGAGTAGGCAACCAGCTGACATTTTCCTCCATCCCTTACCACGGCAGGTAAGATGCCACCTCAGAACACACTTTGAAAATCATTGATGTAGTTCTTTCAACAAATATGCCAGGTGCCATACAAGGTGCTAGAGATACAGTGGTGAACAAAGAAAGCAGAGTGTCTTTTTTTTTTTTTTTTTTTTTTTTTTGAGACGGAGTCTCGCTCTGTCGCCCAGGCTGGAGTGCAGTGGCCGGATCTCAGCTCACTGCAAGCTCCGCCTCCCGGGTTCGCGCCATTCTCCTGCCTCAGCCTCCCGAGTAGCTAGGACTACCGCGCCCCGCCGACTAGCAAGCGGAGTTTCTACTTGGACAGAGCCCACAGTCTAGGGAGGGAGGCTGACATTTAAAATATAATCACATGGCCGGGCGCGGTGGCTCAAGCCTGTAATCCCAGCACATTGGGAGGTCGAGACGGGTGGATCACGAGGTCAGGAGATCAAGACCATCCTGGCTAACACGGTGAAACCCCGTCTCTACTAAAAAATACAAAAAAAATTAGCCGGGCGCGGTGGCGGGCGCCTGTAGTCCCAGCTACTCGGGAGGCTGAGGCGGGAGAATGGCGTGGACCCGGGAGGCGGAGCTTGCAGTGAGCTGAGATCCGGCCACTGCACTCCTGCCTGGGAGACAGAGCCAGACTCCATCTCAAAAAAAAATAAAAATTAACATAAAATATAATATAATATAATATAATCACATAAATTGAAACTGGTTAGTACCATTCATGAAAAGTGTAGGTCATAGGTCTGGGAAGTGAGGAGCGCCTCTGCCCAGCTGCAGTCCCGTCTGGAAAATGATGGGGACCTCTGCCTGGCCGTCCAACTGTCTGGGAAGTAAGGAGCGCCACTGCCCAGCCACTGCACCATCTAGGATGGCAGGAGCCCCTCTGCCCGGCCCGCACTGTCTGGGAAGTGAGGAGCGCCTCTGCCTGGCCCCCACCGCTTCTGAGAAGTGAAGAGCACCTCTGCCCATTCCCCCAGCCGTCCGGAAGTGAGGAGCACGTCTGCCCCCCTGCCCCACCGTCTGGGAAGTGAGGAGCACCTTTGCCCGGCCCCCACCCCGTCGGTGAAGTGAGGAGTGCCTCTGCCCAGTCCCCTCATTGTCTGGGAAGTGAGGAGCACCTCTGCTTGGCCCCCGCCCCGTCTGGGAAGTGAGAAGCACCTCTGCCCCACCGCCCCACCGTCTGGGAAGTGAGGAACACCTCTGCCCGGCCACCACCCCATCTGGGAAGTGAGGAGTGACTCTGCCCAGTCCCCTCATTGTCTGGGAAGTGAGGAACACCTCTGCCCGGCCCCCGCCCCGTCTGGGAAGTGAGCATCTCTGCCCTGCTGCTCCACCGTCTAGGAAGTGAGGAGCGCCTCTGCCCAGTCCCCTCATTGTCTGGGAAGTGAGGAGTGACTCTGCCCAGTCCCCTCATTGTCTGGGAAGTGAAGAACACCTCTGCCCGGCCCCCGCCCCGTCTGGGAAGTGAGCATCTCTGCCCTGCTGCTCCACCGGCTAGGAAGTGAGGAGCGCCTCTGCCTGGCCGCCACCCTGTCTGGGAAGTGAGCAGCGCCTCTGCCCAGTCCCCTCATTGTCTGGGAAGTGAGGAGCTCCTCTGCCCAGCCCCCCACCGTCTGGGAAGTGGGGAGCACCTCTGCCCTGCCCCTGCCACCATCTGGGAAGTGAGGAGCGCCTCTGCCCAAAGGCCCACTGTCTGGGAAGTGAGGAGCTCCTCTGCCCGGCCCCCACCCCATCTAGGAAGTGAGGAGCGCCTCTGCCTGGCCGCCGCCCCGTCTGGGAAGTGAGGAGCACCTCTACCAGGCCCCCC